GGCGCGGCCCGCGCTGTGTGCCCCGGGGCTGGCGAAGCGGATGGGAATCCTGCACTGAGGGAGCTGCCCTTGCGGGGTCTGTAGGCAGAGCCCCTGTGGATTCGTCCCTGACCACGCCTGGGTCTCAGCCGGGTACCAGCACTGGGGGGTAGACTGCGCCGCACCCCCGGGCTCAGCTCCTACAGGCAGAAGGAAACCGAAGCCCAGAGAGGAGAAGCGACTCGCCAAGGTCACACAGGGAACCCTTGTCTTCCTCCAAAGGAAGGCCGTGCGCTCCGCCTGGCTCCCTGCCACAACGCGTCCCCGAGCCGCGGCTGCCCCGGCCCCACCCCGCCCCTCCCGAGACCAGGGGAAATCAGGCTGAGTATCCAGGACAGAGGGTGTGCGGGGGGAAGGCAGAGGGAGGAGGGGGTGGGCGGCTCCAGTGGGCCAGACTTGTGTTTTTCCGGTTTCTGATTGCAGAAATAACTTGGGCTTGTAGTGAATCATCCAGGTAGTAAGATAAAATTTAACAGTAAGAAAAGCAGAAACTGAAAATTCCCTCGAAGTCCATCCTCAAAAAATAACACAATTACTACTCACAGCTCTCCCTTTGGACTTTTTCAGAGAGAGGGCTGAATCAGACCCTGTTCTGCTGGATGGGTGTCCCACATATATTTTTAAACTGCTGCTTTGTTGTTGAACGTTTGGGTTATTTCCAAATTTTAGCTGTTAAAATAATGAAGCGTTTTAAAAAGTTACTATAATTACCTTTTATTATTGTCAACTGACATAAAGAGTCTAGACATTAGTGGAGGAGTTTATTCAATAATCAGCACGCGGAGTTCCAACCCCGGGAAACAGTCCAACAGATGCCCTGAGGAGCTGCTCCGAGGGGTGTGAGCTTATGTCTCTTTCACAAACAGTGCACGCGCGGGGAAGAGGAGAAGAAAAAAAACTTACAACTAGTTTTCATATATGTTAAAAAAAAAAAAGGAATAGAGTACATCTGGGCTTTTCTCTAGATTTACGTTGAAGGTAACATAAGAATTCCTTGGTTTTCCATCAAACAAGTTGGGAGATGCTGACATTCATTATCCATGTGTGGAGGGAGGCCGGGACCAGGGTCGTGATTATTCCCTCCATCTCTAAGAAACGCAGCTGGGGATGTAAGAGTGAAGTACCCCCTTATCTTTCCTGCTGTGGGTCTGTCCAGCAGGCGTCTTCGGTCATGAGGCGTGGGGTTCAAGGTCATTTGACACAGGCTGAAGATGGCCTGCACGGCCACCTCACAGGACAGCATGGATGTTATTGTGCTGACTTAAAGCCTATGCAGGTTGCTTGTTAGATTCGCCTATTAGACCAGGGAGAGGGGTCCCAAAAATCTGCCCACAGTCCCCGCTTTTGGTTGTTATCAACCCACGGATGCATTCGTGACCAGTGAGGTGTTCCTTTGCTTTTTCTCCGGCATGGTGGGGTACCTCTCATTTTTTAACCTATCTTACATGTCGTTTATTAAAAATGCATTCTGGATCACTCTTACCTTCCTAGCTGACATGATCGGGGCCTCGTCCTGCTATTGCCTCCTTTGACAGCTAGCATAACATTGGGATAATATGATAATTAACACAATCAAAATTACAGTTGTGAGTACAGTTTTTACAATTTTTCTCCCAAAAATGTTCCCTGGCAGAATTTCCTTGGAGGTTTTCCCCAGGACGTGCCCTGTATAATAGATGTATCTTGTGAAGTCAGAAGTAATAGGAAGATTGAGAACAGGTTTGTGTAAGATAGGTCTTAGACTCTGGGTTTTAGAATTATATGTGAGTGTGTGATTTATGGGCTCACGATTTGTTGGACTCAAGGTGGTAACCTTTTCCCAAGACCAATAGTTAGTATCTAAGAATTGGGGCGGCTTAGAAAGACAAATGTGACAAGTGTAGGTGAGTCTGGTAAGAAACAAAAATAATGCAGGGCTGGCCCAGTGGCGTAGCAGTTAAGTTCACGCACTCCGCTTCCCTGGCCCGGGGTTCAGGGGTTCGGATCCCAGGCGCTCACCAACACACCGCTTGTCAAGCCATGCTGTGGCGGCGTCCCATGTAAAGTGAGGAAGATGGGCACGGATGTTAGCCCAGGGCCAGTCTTCCTCAGCAAAAAAGAGGAGGATTGGCATCGGATGTTAGCTCAGGGCTAATCTTCCTCACAAAAAAAAAACAAAGACAATACTGCATGTTGTCCTTTAATGACTGGCCTGGTCCGGACTCCTGGGAGTGCTGTCCATATCAGCCATCGGCCGCTTCTCTTCCTGGTCTTGTTGGCATAGTTTCAGTCATAAGTCCAAAACACGCTCTGAGGACAACTCTGGAGAAGGCGCCCTTTTTAAGTGAGAAATATGGATCCAAGAGTCAATGCCCTATAATTTAGCTGCACAGGAATTAGTCAGAGGACTTGATAAGGTCCTTTCCACTTAGGCTGCAAAGCGTTTTTCAAATGGTGAAGTTTTCAATAAACATAGACACGAGGCTGTAAATCATGAGCTTGTAGACCTTCATCCGTGGGTTTTGCATCATATGCATCAGCAACCAATTTCAAGTGTTCTTTTAATAGTTTGGATAAGATTTTACAATAGTGATGTATGTCACCTTTTAGTAATGAAGGTTCATATAATCCTTCATCTAGACATATAGGTTTCCCAGTAATAATCTCAAATGGACACAACTGATATTTGCCAAAGGGTGTTGATCTTAGGTTGACAGTACCGGTGGAAGGGCTTTAGGCCGTGATAAAGAGAATGCATCTGTGAGCTTAGCCAATTGGATCTTAATTATGCCACTGGGCCTGACGATTGGGGTGGTAACTGCAGTGAAGAGGCTGCAAAATAGGCCAGGTTCTACAAATTTCCTTCATAATTTGTCCGGTGAAGTGAGTCCCAGGTCACTGTGTAGTTCCGCTGGACTCCCCATCCTGGAATAATACTGGGGATAATTCCGTGCTGGGATAATTCCATGCTGGAATGATTTGTTCCCGGTAGTAGTTTACTGATTGATTGAGCCATAGCCCTTTGGCAGGAAATGCTTCAGCCCAATGAGAGAACATGCAAATCATAACAAGAACATATTGGTAACGTTGGGAGGGAAGCATTTGGATCAAGTCCATGTGGCAAATTTCAAATGCTCCCACTGGCAAAGGGAAAACTCCCTTTGAACTATGCAGAGGACTCCCTGGGTTATGCTGAGGACAGACTAAACATTTAGGGTATATTTTCTGTGCTGTAGTAAAACAGGGATTCCAAAAGTATTGTTTTTTCCAAGAGATCATTTTCTCTGGGGCCCAATGAGTCAGATCATGAAAATGCTGTAGAACTGGATGTTGAGCTTCTAAAGGAAGTATTGGGTGTTGATTTGGCCCAATCCATAAGTTTCTGTGGAAATCAAAAGCCCCCCTTTTGGGGGCCGGCCCAGTGGCATAGTGGTTAAGTTTGCACTCTCTGCTTCCGTGGCCTGGGGTTTGGAGGTTCAGATCCCGGGTGCCAACTTGCACACTGCTTATCAAGCCATGCTGTGGTAGGCGTCCCACATATAAAATAGAGGAAGATGGGCACAAATGTTAGCTCAGGGCCAATCTTCCTCAGCAAAAAGAGGAGGATTGGCAATGGGGGTTAGCTCAGGGCTAATCTTCTTGACCAAAAAGAAAAAAAAAGCCTCCCTTTTGGATCTATAATTGTTTTTCTTTTTCAGTGGCGGTTTTCTGAAAATCAAACAGAGCCTCAGTTAAGTCAGAGAAGGACAAGAAACGTGTCAAAGTTGGTGGAATCACCATTCATGAGGCGGCTTCCTTGTTGCTGCTGCCTGATCTCCCAACTTGTTTCCTTTTTTGGTTTCCAAAGTGTCCGCCTCAGAGTGACCTTGTATTTTTATTATTACCAATTCCTTAGGGAGTAAAATGGCTTTTAACAAAGGAGCCATTTGTCTCCTGTTCTTAATATGTTGTCAAGTACAGGTTAAAAAACCTTTGTTTTTAGAGCATCCCCAAATCGTGGGCTATTCCAAATGCGTATCTAGTGTCAGTAAGAATATTTGCAGTTTCCTGTAGCTAGACGACAGGCTGAACTTCTACTGAATGAGCATCAGGCGAATGAGCCCTCTCCAGAATGGAGACTGGAGGACTCACAGCACACCTGTCCTGATACGTCCCGGTAAGTCCTCGCCAATATGAGCCATCTGTGGATAATATAAGGTCAGCATTAGTTATGGGACATTCACGTAAATCATCCCCTGGGGTCGAAAGTTGGTTAGTTAACTTTATGTAGTCATGATCAGATTTCATTGATTTGGCATCATCTGGGAGCCAGGCGGAGGGAGTTAACCTGTTACCCCTAAGCAGAGTTACATTAGGAGAAAACAAAACAATTTCATAAGAAATTAATCGACTTGCAGAATAAGGTGGAATGTGATGAGAATTTAACAAGGCTTCAACTGAATGAGGAGCCTAAACAGTTAAAGGAGACCCCATCATCATTTCTTCAGTAGCCTCGCACAAGAGCGCTCTTGCTGAAATAGCCCCCATACACAGTGGAAGTCCTTTTGCTACCGAGTCTCATTGCTGACTATAATATCTTATAGGTCGATGGCAATCCCAATGTTCTTGAGTTAATACACCTAAAGCATTTCCTTTAGCTTCATGTACAAAGAGAGAAAATGGCAAGTTGAAATTAAGGTGACCTAAAGCTGGTGCCTGAGCCGAGATGGACTTGAAGGTGTTTATGGCTTTTTCTCCTTCTGGTGTCTATTCAATCAAATCAGACTGGTCAGACTTAAGTAATATAAATATAAAAGGTTGAGCAATGAGTGAAAAGTTAGGCACTTAGTTCCTGTGGTATCTAGTCAGTTCCAAAAAAAAAGAAAAAATCCCCTCAATTGTTTTCGTTAGTTTATGAAGCCATCAGTTTCTCTGTTATGGTTCTGTAATTTTTTTTACTTAGTTTAGTTTTATGATCTGAAAGTTTATCAGAAACCTATATTTTAGAGTAAGTGTCAGAATCCTTTCCGTGACTCTCTCTGAAGATGAAATATATTTGCGAAATCATCAGAGTAAAACAATAAATGTCTGTAAATGACAAAAGACCTCAAAATGGCAACTAACAAAGGAACTTCGTTATTTCTGTGACATATAACATTTTAAGATAATAACTAGAATTACAACTGATAACAGTTGTTATTAGTTACAACTGAGAACAGATCAGAATTTTAGCAGTCATATCATTTTTATTATATTATAAATATTATTATATTATTGTATATAAAATTTTATTACTATATTATAACATTTACTTACACAATATAACCTTAGGGGGTTTGTCATCACTTATTTCACAATGCTTCTCATGCAATTTCATACCAAAGGAGTCTAATTAGTTTAATATTTCCCTCTTTATAGAAACAGAGAACAAAATCTTTGAGAAGTCCTGGGGGCCATTGGAAATTCTCAAAGTGAGTTTTAAGTCAAAAGAAGGGCTGTACCCAGGATTCAAGCCTTGGGGGAAGTTTGTCAAAAATATGAAAAGGTTTTAAAACACTTGGGCAAATAGGAAACAATGTTTAGGTATCCATTCAATCCAGGTGACAACAGAAGATGTCAAAGGCCAAAAAACCTTAATAGAGAAACCTCAATCTTTTTGAATATAGGAAATAATTTTAACAAAACATTGATTTTCTGTCTTTTAAGTAGATTTACTCAAAAGTAAAGAAAAATCTTTTATAACTTCTTTATCAAGAGCAGACCAAAAGTTCAAGAAGATCATCCTTTCAAGAGAGAGAAAGCCAAATTCTAATTTTGCACCAGCTTACTCTTGGTATTGCAACTCATTTATTTAATTGAATTCACTTTGATCTTAGCCAACTTGACCATGCACAAAACTCTTTTCTCAGGGTTTTACTTCCACAAACCATCTATCACTTGCTTTTTACATTCAGAATTTGTCCCATGCCTTCTTTCCTTTTTTTTCTCTTTCCTAGTGCTTTAGGACAAATTTATCTTTCTTAACAAAACAAATAGAAATATTTCCATTCTTTATACCTTCTTTACTGAAAACATACCCCTTACTTTTCTTGTATACAGACTTTCTAGAAACATGTGCTTTTTCATAGGAAATTCCCCAGTGTGGCACAAAACATATTTATCAATAAACCTAAGCATCTTCCAGTTTCTCTGAGATAAGAAGCCAAAGGCAGACAAATCTATGCTTAGTAATTAATTTTTTTAATAATTTTATTTCATTTTTTCTTTTCCCCCAAAGCCCCAGTAGATAGTTGTATGTCATAGCTGCACATCCTTCTAGTTGCTGTATGTGGGATGGAAAATCTCAGCATGGCTGGAAAAGCGGTGCATCAGTGCACGCCCGGGATCCGAACCCAGGCTGCCAGCAGCGGAGCGCGCACACTTAACCGCTAAGCCATGGGGCTGGCCCATTAATTAATTTTTAATATTTTATCTTATGGGGAAATGACATAGATACTCAACAAATTTTTATCATTTAACTTAATTTAGCAAAATTCTAAAGTTTCAAGTTATCAAAAAGTTGTGAAGGTATTTTAAGTACACACACCATAACACATAATTATTGTTAAAAAGTTCATCCAAAAACTTTTATCTTTTACATCTATTTAGTTTACTTGTTCCCAATAATTATATTTAGATTGCCCACAAAAACTTCATGAGATGTTAGACAAAAATCAGCTATTATTCTAAGTTGATATTTTTGCTGACAAATTTTGTAACAGAAGTAACATGTCTGTATCATACCCAGTGCTGATAACTCTGAAAATATGTTTATTTCAATCAAACCAACAAACTTAAATAAGCTTTCATTTACCCAAGTTTTTTTTTATATCATATTAACTTGAAAGACATTTGGTTTAGTTTGTATTACATTTAGAAATAATTTATATAAGCACTTACTTCAAGCCAATTAAATAGAGCTCTTTTAGAAATTATACTATCTGGAAGCAGAAAAATAGAGAGAGAGACTTCCATACATAAACATACAGACAGACACAAACCAAGATCTTCAAAATTTTAGCTATGTCTCAGGTATAAAACTCAAAAGAATAGTTGGATCCAA